AAGTGGGGACGCTGGTATCTTTTTATGCCTTTCTTAACAAAGCAGATTAATTCTGATTTAGTCTTCACTGTCAGGTTTTAATGGCAAATGATATTGGATGGCAGAAAATGCCATTAGTGATGCCTGTTTTGTATTTTCACGAGAAAGAAATTAAATGACAGCATTTCTATTGTTGAACAAAGTCTATATGAAGAGAAAATGTCCAAATGTATCGAATTAATAAAAAATATTCACATTCTCTTGAGTTATGGTCATAATATACACAGGTCTGAAAAGAAGAGTGACCGTAAGAACAAAAAGTGGCATTCGGATTACTCAACTTAATTCTGGTATCTGCAAATAAGTGCCGGTGAGAAAGCTCCTGTGTGCGGCTTGAATTTACTGCTTCAAGCTTTGATTTGATTTATTGACTGACAATTTTGATAAGTGATTAATCACACGTGCAGGGTGGTCCATACAGATCAACTATAATCTGCTGCACCACTAGGATTCACACACATACTACAACCCAACACCACAGCCGCCTCGCACACTGTTATGTAATTAAACTGCAGTCACATCTTTCATCTTGTCACAGAATCAGCTGCACAGACGGGTCACATTAAATACATTGTTCAATTTATTGAAAAGGGTAAAAAAAAAAAAAGTTACAGTGAAAGCAAATTAGTGAAGTTTTTACCTGCTAGTGAATATAAGAACCAAAAGACAGGGATTAAATCATTTTGGCAGTTACTGAACCATTTTCTTTAACTCTCAGTCTGTGGGGCTACTTACAATTTCTTTCAATCAATTAACAACCAAAGTGACAACTGAAAGCATAAATGAGGTTGTTATGTTAGAGGGGGTTTAGCAAAAAAAAAAAAAAACATTTGCTTCTGATTTTCAAAACAAAATCTGGTTTAACTGAAGTGGAACAAAGATGATTTTATTGCCGAGATTATGTTGGAAAACATGCCCGAAGAGGACGACATTAACATGAGCAGAAGCAGAAGGATTGTGGGGAGAAAACAGAAGAACATACAAGAACATGACACTTGCTGTGTGGTGTAACGTGAGGTACTGTTGTGAGGTGTTACTGAGTGTGGACACCTGTGGAGCAGCAGCACAGAGGACGCATAGCTGGACAGTCTGTCCCTCTCGCTGGACAAAAACCATCAATCTCCAAAACAAAACAGTTGAAGACTAAAATCCTGCATTTTACCATCAACAACCATAAATTCTGAAATGACATAATGGGACTTTAGTCATTTTAAGAAGCCAATGATCATGAGAACTCATTTTTATATATATTCTATGCACTGTTAACCGTGGTGACATTATGTGAATACCTTTGCTCAAGTGAATATAAAATAACTGGAGTTACAAAGTTTTAACCCAACAGTGCCGCATCCATTGTGGATGAGTGATGCAATCTATAGCAGGGGCCTTAAACGTGCCGTCGATTGCTCCGGACGACAGTGTTTAACAGTACAACCAGCTGTTAGCTAGCCATACATTCTCAAATATTTGTTGTTTGTTTTTTTTTTACTTCCCAGACGTCATCACATCTCCCAGTTATTAGTCACAAGATCATTTTATTCAGTGTTAGCAGGCAATCTTGCTGGTCCCCTCCCCTATCTGGAATAGCAAGGTAGTTTTACATAATAAATATAAAAATGGGGTGCTGGTGTGCTTCTGCCCCGCCGTTATTGTTTTCACTTACATACACACATCCAACCCCCTCCCTCCCTCCATCCATCCATCCATCCATCCATCCATCCCAACCCGTTGTCCGTGAATACTGACGGGTCCCAGTGTTCGTCATCAACATCCTTCAGGCGCCGTGATTCAATGTTAAGTCCGTGGTCATTGTGTATCTGTAAGCGACAGTTTTTATTGGTTTTTTTAGTATTGTGGTTATAGTTGTGAACAGTGACCAAGTGACTGCCTCTGTCAGATCCCAATCACAGACTGGACTAAATCTACCTGTGGAACAGGTATACTGTTCTATCATGATGTTGATTCTGTGGTTAATAGAAACCAGTTGATAACTATGGAT